GTCCGTACAATACCGGCATTTAGCGGTTACGATGTACGACAAACAAGATTCTAATGTCAAAATTGTCAAATAGCGTTAACCGGAATCGGATTTTGTAAGCAACGAAAACTCCCTATTATTATTTGCATATCATTGAGAAAAACAGAGCACTCGTTCTCCTGGAAACGTTGCTCTCCTCTTTCAAGAATATTACGTGTGAGGGACTTGTTTTTTTTTTTGTATCATATTGTTGAGGGCTTTGCTGATTAGTTGTGGTGTTTCCTCTACTGTCAGTTTTAGGACCTCTGCTGAGATGCCATCCATTCCTGGAGCTTTATCTGTTTTTAGCTTCCGGTTTGCCGTCTTCACTTCGTCATTAGTCATTTCTGGTGTGTCTGCTATGTTTTGAGCCGTTTGTTCCCAGTCATAGAGGGGTTTGGTTGGAGAGGCTTCCAGCCACCTCCAAAGCTTTCTGGTGGCGTTACTGTGGTTGCTTCTTGTCATCTTTCTCTTCAAAGGAAGTCAGGTTTTCCTCAATTTTGCGATGTCTTCTGTCCATCAGTAGACAGGTTTGTTGTTGTTGGGGTTGGTTTTTGTCTTAGGTATTGACGTGTACCAGTAACATATTGCCGTCATCATTATATTTAATTGTTCAGCCGTCTCTGATGGTGGCTTCCTCTCTGCTGAAGTGATCGCTTCCTTGAGCCGCACTATATTTATTTCAATGTGATTCCACTTCCTTGTAGTCTCGTTGTTTTCTGTTTTTTGCATTACCTTCCTATTCTTGTCCTCTTTTCGCTTATTGATTCCAGGTCAAGCACACTCCACCCCTTGAGCCTGCCGCTGACACCGCCCCTTGTCATTGTCAGATCCACAATCGATCTGTGTGTTCATAACTCAGAGTGGCTTAAGTTCTCGAGCAAAACAACCCATGCTGGGTCGCTGAAGCATTTGCCATTTCACACGGTCTACTCAGGTGGTAGAAGCACACACGTATTTCCGATTCCATTTCTCAACTCACCAAATTACTCAATTTGTTCCTTACCACTATACAGATCCTTACAAGATCGATGTGTTTCAACCTTTGGGCAAATCAGACCACAAATTAATTTCTGCTCGAAGTTCATTTGTTATAGCCTCAGCTCCTGCTCTAATACCTCGTATTGTGTTGCATTATGGAGCTGCAGACTGGGAAGGCCTATTTTTTTCTCGACCATTCCGTGGTCCGATGTTTGGTTTAAATCCATAGATCCCTTTGAGGCTGCACAAGAGGCACAATAATTTCCTTAGGTATGGAATTGTACATTCCACACTCCCATAAAACATCCCGTGCCGAAAAACCCTGATTTAACACGCAGTGTATCCAAGAAGTTGCAAAAAAGAACACCGTATATCGTACCTAGCGTAGAAACCAATGCGATCTTCTTTTACGGCAACGAGAAATGATTGCAACCGTATAACTAACGAGGCTAAGAAGTTACACACCAACATATTTGCATCCACGATGGAGGACAATGGCAGAGCGTCACAAGTGCTGTCACACCTTGGTTCTTACATGGTGGAAAATGTTGTATTTAGACCTAAAACTACTAGGAACATTCTCCTGCAACTAGACCCTGGGAAATCTTGTGGTACCGATGGCATTCCACCAATTGTCGTCAGAATTTGCATTTAAGAATTAGCTTCGGTTTTCAGCTTTCACCTTTCTATACATCTCCCAACTTCTTCTACTTAACAAGGCTCAAATCAGACCATGTATGGAATACTGTTCACACATTTGGAGTGATGCGCCCAAGCATTCGTTGGCTCTCTAAGATGCAGTACAAATAAGAGCAATAACAATAATCGATAACCCAACTCTAACCGATTCATTGCAATCTGTCGAACATAGACAAGGTGGCCGAATTGTAGTTATTCTATCGCTATCACCATGAGAGATGTTCTGACGATCTGGCCAGCCTCATTATAGCTAGAAGAAATTATTTAAGAACCATAAGACTCCTATGTGTATGTGGTAAAGTTGGCGACTCCGAACACCTCTAAATATAGGGCTTCTCTTTGGTGACGTAGGTACTGCCCACCTCTGGAACTCCCTGCCTCCTAAACGATTTAACCTGAACGTGTTGTAACCCCTTTTGTTAAAGAATTTATTAGCAAGGAGGCCATAATATGCTCGGTTTGCTCAGTGAGTATTTATTAGGGGTGGGTTGATAGTTTTCAATAAGTACAGTATGGCAAGGGCGCCACTGAATTTCAAAAAAAAAATAATAATAATAATAATAAAATTGCATAAAATATGGGATGTGAAAATTCAGAATCACACCTAGAAAATAATCAGCAAATGGTAATAGGTAATTCTGGAAAAGGAATAAATAATGCACAGAACTCAAACTTGACGTATAGGTAAACCAATAAAACAATTAAGTAAAATTTCAAGTTAAAATAGTATGTATGTATATTTCAGTCAGTAAAAAAATTCAGCATGGAATTATTCCACAATATAAAATCAATTATTGTTGGTAGGACACCTTAGACCAAATCAAAATAAAAGAGGTTAACTTTTAATCAGATTCGTCAAGCTCAAAAAGAAATAATAGTATAATAACAGATGCACCTCAATATACTTGCCTTATAAGTTCATTAACAGTCGCTGGCCATATCATCAATTTGAAAGGAGAATATAAAGATTTAGGTTTCCAGAAAACTAATTAAAAAAATTGAATGATTGAAAAATTCTATTGATAAATCGTCGGTCTCATGACATAAGGCCCTCTCTCGAGATAGGGCCAAAATGAGTTAAGTTCATAGATATGTTGTATTTAGTGTAAACTTGTTTTTAGCTTGTCTTATTTTGAAATTAGTTAATTTCGTTAAAAAAGTGAGAAAACACATGGCCCTATCTTGAAATATGAATAGTTTTATCATAGCATAAAGGCGAATATTGAGACACAAATGTTAACTACTATTTTGAAATGTGGTATTTGACAAAAAACTTACATGAATTGTTGTTAATAATCCCAAAAAAAAAGAGACCAAAAATCAGTATAGTTCTTTATATTATATTGGCGTAAAGATATTAGTTTTCTTTTAATTGCTCTACTGAAAACTTGTAAAAAACGAGATAGGGCCTTATGTCCTGAGACCGACGAAATATGGTCAGCTTCTGTTGAAAAAATTAAATTCAATAAAATCAAATTGTACCTGTATGAAATCAAAGGTTAAATGTTGAAGGTATAAAGGAGTTTATAACTAATATAACCCACATGGTAAATTGATCAATTTTTGGTGTCACTTACCCCAATAATTTCAAATTTAGAAGATAGTGTCCAACCTTGACCTCAGTTTAGATTAATGATTATGATTAATAAAAAATAAAAGATAGGTACATTATTCAAATATCGTCATTAATTTCACAAAGTGACGTATCTCCAAAACACCCTGATTTGAGATACGTCACTTTGTGAAATTATCGACGATATGACGGTATTGAAAGTTAGGTAAAAAAAAGAATTTATAGTAAATACGGCAAAACAAAAATTAGAAAATAGAGTTCACTCTGGTGTCAAGAATAATGGATGAAATTGAAACTTTAAGAGATTTCATAGAAAAATGTAGTAAAAGTTATAATTGTATAGAGTTTCAATTCGAACAAAAAGGTAGATTACGGTAGTCGGTAGCCATCCAGTCTTTGGTCACTGGATGAGGGAAGTTGCACTAGAAGTCGTAGATTCCAGCCTGGAAGATAGAGGCTAGAAGTTCAGTCTTCCTCGTCAAAGGTAGAGGTACAGGAATCGACACGTGAAAGACTCAAGAGCTCTATGCCCAGAGATGGGGCTTATTGAAAATGGATCCCTTGAGAAAAACAGCTTCTCGGAAAATACAGGTCCCCGGTAAAAATAGGCCCACGGTAGAACCATAAGTAAAAGAGACATTTCATGAACAACTATCACCTAAAAAAAAATTAAAGAAACTTACCACATGGGTTTTGAAATTCAAACTTAAATAAAACGGCAATCACGAGACTTTTTAATTAAATTTTTCCGGTAATCAATAAATTACTGCCATACACAACTTTATTTCGTTTAGATAAGGTAATGCCTGAAGGCCGATAAGGTATTTTTTCCACGAGAACGGTAATTACACTTACCCCAAAGCCACAATGGAGCTCTGAAGGCAAGGGCCAAATTAGAAAATGAACTCTTCAATTTTCTCTTCCAGAATAAATAAATTTCACTTGTCAGTTTTGAAGGAAAACACTGTCAACCTGTCGACCCTCAGCTATGTAAAAAGTACTACGTTCGAAAACTATTAATGAGGTTAAAGAGCAACGGGTCGAGTAGATCTAGGTAGTACAAAAGAAAGCACCTACTCCCTTCTCAAGGTCACCGATAAAATAATTAATTCAGCCGGCAATAGATGCCTCCATATGGCTGAATAATTATATGAAATTATAAAATGTAAAAATTATTTATATAAAAAAAAAGCAAGTGACATTTGCAATGTTACAGTGTTCAGTCGGAGGGTTAATCGTCATTTAATTTCTTCCGCTAATGATACCGCTTAGGTAGTATAGACTTTGTCTTTTCTGAGCAGACCAGTATATCAATTGCTTAACGCGTTTCGGTTAATAAAGAGCTTGAGCAATCTGTAAGTGAAAAAGAAAATCATTGAGAATTTGTTGTCGTGGCGTCACGGCTTTGATCAATAAAAATCCCTAGGAAACCGTTGAAAAACAAATGAACAGGAGTGGACTTCCAGATAATATTTACTAATAGACACGCCAGTGATCGGCACATTGATTCTAAATAATACTAAAAACTACGACATTAAAATTATCTATTTAGAAGTACACTGCTATCAATCTAAAAAAATCCGAAAAGTTCCAGACAAAAAAACAATACCTAGATCCCTATCAATCGTTGGAATAAAATCAAAATACAGACAGGCAACCAACTATGCTCTACGAATAATATTTGCGTATATAATACGCTCAAAGTCAAATTATGCACTTTTATTTTCAGATATTTGCCATGTAATAGACTCGCAAGGCTACCCAGTGGAATATGGCCTCCCGAAGATGTCCACTAGGACCTCTTGCGGCGTCGCCAATGAGTCGTTTTACCGCACGCTTCCCAGTAATCGGATGAAGCGGCATTCGGCGGCTAATCCTCTCAAAAGATACTCCAGGGAGGTGGAGTTTTTGTCGAGAAGTGTGGATACGCCTTACGATCATTACCATACCAACGATATCAGGTAAGGAATTATACGTGTTATCTCTATGCAATTAATGTAGTTTATAACGACGGTAAAGTAATTTTTTTTTTTTGGGCAGCAAACTTTTCTTGTGGCAAAACCAATAGCAATATTTTTACGTATTAAAACATGACCTATATTTATTCCAGGTACACAGCTGACGGCTACCCAGTGTCACGCCAAGTAGTACCGCTCAGCCTGCTGTCGCCGCCAACCAGCAGCAATAATACTCCATCGCCCGCTTCCGGACCATGCTGCTCGGTGAACTGGCCGCCGTATTTGCAGACCGGCCATCAGCAAAAGGTGACGAAGAGGTGCGCCAGCGCCCAAACGGACACCGAGGACGAGTGTGACAGTTTGAGTGTCAGTGTTAAAAACGAAAGTGTCAACAATATCGTTAATAATGACAATAATGACGTTTTGACGGAGAGTCCGGATGAAGGGTATGAAGGCGAACCTTCAGTGGTGTAAGATTTTTGTTTAAATGGCAACGTGTAACCAAAGAGCTAAGTTAATAAGGTCAGAAAATGAGGCAGTACAAATTTAATATCCAATATGACGACAGAGAATAAAATAAGTAGGATTCATCAGAACAATCGATTTAGCTCGAAGAGAACTGTAAGGAAACAGGGTGCTAGGAATTTCATAGATTTAAGCAGGAACGCCCATTAAAGTGGCAAGACATTCTAGAGTGCAATGCTACTTGTTATTAAACCGACATGAATAAATGCATTAGCGCTCACTAGAACTACTGCGCGATTACGTCGCGTTTCAAAAATATTAGATGATACATAATCGAAATGGCATTTGTCGTTTGACTCAACAAGATCGCATTTAATACCAATCAGTAAATTAATCAAAATTTGGACATTTTGCCCTTTCTTCCAGAGTATATCATGTTATATTTCATGTTGAAATATACCATTTCCAAACTCGATAATTCTTTTATAATCATGCTGCATACAGCAAGCAATAATAAAACTTATGACTTGTATCATGTCACGCTACCGCAAATTGAAATAGAACTTGTTCTACTTTTTCCTAGTCGGAATAAAGTGTGATAAAAAGACAAGTTTGCACCTCAAACTTTTCACTTAAGGTGATTTATTTCAAACTTCTCCAAACATATAATACATTCAATATTTGGAAAATGGCATATGTACTAAATAAAAAATCTATTCTTTTACAATAAGATCATGGTAATACTCTCTACTTTACATTTTTAAGCGTAGAGAGTTTTATTGAATTTTCCTCACTGTAAGGGCAATTGTTACATAAAAACATGAGTGTGTAGAGAAAAAAAAAGTATCTCCGTGTTTATTGGACTGAAATCTAAAAACCATCTCTTTTTGATACTTGGACAAAAATTCAACGGCCTGTGGGTACAAGCGACCTATATAATCGAGTCAAGGTTGACGTATGGCTCGGGAGATAATAGTTTTATCCATTAATATTAAGCATACCGTATTATTCGAGTACAGAATAGATTGGCGAAGTAATTGAAACTAGTTTACTTAAATTAAAAAGTATTCGCTTCATGAAGTACCCTACCTGTTCCTGATTACAAAAAAAAAAAAAAAACATCTTTTGAACTTTCACTGCCTAAAACCTTCGGGCGTTGTTATCGCATTATCGTTGGTCGTTTTATGGTAAATTTTAAATTTAAATAAATCGGTTTTATTGAATTTTGTGCAAATAATTTGCCGTTAAATAAATATATTATGTTTCCTAGACCATGCCATTTTGGCTATTGAATTTAAAATATATTTTATTTTGTCAATTATTTAAAAGTATACATGGTTCTCATACTATGTTAATGTTGTTCAGTGAAAATTGACAATGGGCTTTAGGTGAAATACTAAATAAAGTATTTATAATAATATAATATTATTTAATGCTTTATTCGATTTGCAATATTTTTTGGTTACAATATATTTATTGCCAAAAAAAAACCTAGTATTTAGTGATTTCGCCACATGTTCACTAACAAACTATAAAACTTAGTGCCAAATTTTACAATTTCAAAACATATATTTAAAACGTTTCCGTAATTTTGTACATACATCTACAAGAACAGGGTCTGATGTGTGAATTTTTAAATATTTTCTGTGAATAGTTATTTTCGTATCATGTACCTATTTGTTCCAACTTTTGTCTGTTTCTTTTTTCACAAGTATTATACAGACATTGTAGGATCCTTACTCTTTCTACTGTAGCTCTACATTTGTGTGTTAGGTACTTAGAAAGTAAAAGTAATGTAGAGAAAAATTGTAATAACAAATAAATATCATCATGTACACTAGACTAGAGGAATTGTCAGTTTTCTTTTTTGTTCACTATTACCTTTTTTCAATAAAAATGTATTTTGTAAAAAAAAATTGTGTTTAATTTGTTTATTAGAATCCAGGTAATACTTATACGATAATAAAATAAGCATGATGTGTACGAACGGTGCAATCGAAGCTGATCATTTTTGGAGATTTTAATTTGGATGCAATGAATATAAAAATAATATAAAAATCAATCAGCTATAATATTAAAAAGAATTTAAAATAAATAAAAAATTAATATAAAATAAATAAAAAATTAAATAAAAATTATAATTTTTTTTTATATTATAATACCTTGCAATACCACTGCAATTTCGTGATTTATCATGAATTAGTTTATCCATCATTGAAAGAAGTAAATTTGAAAAAATTAAAACATATTTTTTAAAAAAATTCATATTCAAATGCTTTATTAAATAAAATAATTTACAATACCAATATTATTGATGATAATAATAATAGGCAATCATCAAACGGACAAATAATGCAAAATAATAAATTGTGATAAAATCTCCATAGGTCAAACTTCCCAAACTATAAAAAACAGAATGTCTGGACATAAAAGTGACATAAGATTACAAAAAGAAACAAGTGCTATTGCTAAACATTCCTTTGATAGTGAACATCGACCTAATTACAGTAACATAAAAATTTTACAAACAGAAAGAAATTTAAATAAACGATTATTTTTAGAAATGACGGAGATACAAAAAAAAAATCAATAAATGGGAGAACAGAAATTAATAATTTGATTATAATCTATTCCTATTTATTATCTCTCGACAATAACACTTCCTAATTTTTAATAATCAGTATCGGTTTATTACCTTCTTCAATCTGTCAAGATCATCACTCATCAATCAATCAATTTTCATAAAAAAAATAATCTATACCATCATTTACACATTTTTTACAAACAAATTTATTATACCCACATATGAAGTTTTTTAAAAAAAATCATAATATTTTATCAATGATAAATCACGAGAAAAATAAGATCAGAACATAAACTTAATGCAAGGTATAGTATTAATAAAAAAAAATTATAATAATTTTCATTTAATTTTTTATTTATTTTATATTCTTTTTAATATTATAGCCTTGAAAAAGGAACAAAGAGTTCCGAAAGGTAGGCCTTTGTGAAAAAAGTTAATAAAACTACATATTGATTGACCGATTCCCTATTATTTACAACCCTATTGATTATTAGCGGTCGTTATCCATAAAAATAAGTTATTTATGTCATTAGAAAAGGGGGATTGGTTTTTAAAAAAATTCTTTTTCAACACAATACAAATTCAAAATAATGATGCATCTTTTGATGATATAATAAATCCTATAAATAATATTTCAAATACAGTCAATTCAAACTCCATTGATGATAACATTATTATTTCTCACTACCATACGTAAAAAAATTATAAAAAAAAATTGAAAAAATACTTAATGGAAATATTAGTGACAAACATTTTTTTAAAATTTCAAATCTTTATTCAAAATATAAAGATAAAGATGAGAATTTAAAAAAATTAGGAGTTGTTTATTCCATAGAATGTAATGATTGCGATAAAAATTACATTGGACAAACATCAACACTTTTAAAAGACAAAATAAATATAAATAAAAGTGACTATAGATTGAATAAAAGAAGTTGCAGCTTATCTGAACATATATTGGATACAAATCATATGTTTGATTTTTTAAATAATAAAATTTTGGAAATAGAATAAAATTATAATAAAAGAATATTTTAAATGATTAACATAATTAGTGATAAAAATTGTATTAACAAAAAGAAAGACATAGAAGATCTAAATATTACTTATTCCTTACTTTTAAATTCTATATCTCAATAGAGAGTTAGCTATTACAATTACTAAAATAAAAAATAAAAAATTTTTGTATTTGAATCTTCTTACCAAAACTGTATAAAGTGATAACCGAACATTGTAATAATTACCATTGTTGAAAACCAGTTTATATTTCTTGACAAATTCAATTCACTTTTCAAAATTATTAGAAGCAAAATTCCAAGATTAAAGCAAAAGTTCAATAAAAAGAATAAATTTTCAATAAATTTTCAACAGTGGCTAATTCTAGACTAAATTTACTAACTTTACACATAAGTTTTTATACATATTTTATATTTTCAATAATTTTTTATTTTGCTTTATACTTTTAGCCTTGATAAAGGAAACAATCAAATTTCCGAAAACTCGGCGTTTGTAAACAACTAGTTTTATTTATGCCAAGACTGCATCCCAAGAATCATCTCATTTCTTACTATTCTATACATTAAACCGATCCAGAAAATTCAATACCTTAAAAGAACAATACAAATTTAGGAGTCTGCGTCCTGAACAGTCCGATGAAACTTCTCCAGAAATTACACAGAAGAGAGAATTACGTCTAATTATTTTTTGGATTATGATCTTCATAAGAAATTCTATCATCATCGTCAATCATCGATGAAAACTGACTTTTTCGCGCAGTAAGTCTATATCTTTATCAAACTCAAGAAAGATATCTGAAATGAGGAAGAATTCTGTTATTTATATTGAAAATTCTTAAAAAGATTTGACGAATTTATTTTTGTAAACAAAAATATTACTACTTGTTTGTTCTAAAAGAAGATAGACAAAACTTTTGGAACATCTGCAAAGCTATATCTGTATATTACCAAATAAGAGTTTGTATTATTATTGTGGAGGAATCCAGAAAAAACATCTTCCAGTTCTCAAGACCATCAATTGAATTTTTAAATTTTTTAACAAATGCCATTGTGACGGAACTAGCTATTACCCTTTTTTGGGCTTTAGTCAAACCGCACCAGGGTTGTCAAAAGTTTTTTACTTTGACTAACTGTAAAAATTAACCATTAGGTGTTGGATCATTTAAGCCTTGTATTGGGTTAGGGGTGCATTGATTCTCATTTATACAAATAAAACGCTGAAATAGAATAGTTATCAATTTAATTAATAAATGAAATTAATTCGGAATAGTCAGCAATCAAATCCTATCTAAAAATTCCTAATTGGACGTCCAGTCGAACTACAAAGGACCCCGCACAAAAAGATAGGAAAAGTGGTCCCGGTCAAATTGTCTGAAATTTTGATATGATATACTTTTAGTTATCCTGATTAAAAGCTGCCATGGACGCAAAAAAATCTATCGAGGAGTTTTGGAGTTATAGGTCCTCAAAGATATCATATTGGATATATATGTCAAAGTTCATAATTTGGTCAAATACTATTAAAAATAGAGTAAATAAACTTCAAAAGATCAGAATTAGTGTAAGTAAATACATATTGTTAGAAAATGGTACAATAAAGGTGTTGTTTCTTTGTTATTAGTCCGGGTGTTCATCTGTTGTTTCTCCACAGACCATTGAAAAATCTGTCGAGTTGATTTCGATTTATAGCGTGTTATGTTTTTTTTTTTCAATCTGGTCTTTACACTTTGCTTTTAAATACATTTTAAATGTTTTTGAATCTCTGTTAAATCCTCCAAATAAATTATTTCTATATTTAAAATACTTTTAAATACCTGTTTAAATATCTATAAATACCCATTTTTTTCTTTTAATTATCATTTAATTACTTTTAAATACACTAATAATTAATTTTGGTGTACACTTTTTTAACATTTGCGCACCCCTCGCATAGTTTGCTAAAAATTAGAAATAAACATAAGTATTAATGAAAATAATGAAGAAAAAGCTAGGTGAATTTAAGTTTTAATTGATAACATGCACGTTATTTGGGGTTCTGTTTCCAGTATCTGATACACGATGTAGCAACTCGGTGGCCGGATAATGGATGGCCGGTGCTGGGGATAATACCAAATAACTGCTGCTATGTGCGCGCAAATGTCCAGCGCTCTGGATCCTAACTTGCAGGTACAATAATCACCTCTTATATTAGTAAAATCATAGTCAATGAAAATCTGTTGCCTAACTATATTTCTGAAGCGCGAACACACACTTAATCTGATCAAATTGGGGTAATTCAGATCTATTTGCAATTCATTATTTGCTCCTCTGTGCATAGTGTCCTGGATGTAAGACGGCGCAAGATTTATTTGATAGACACCTACAGTTAAGCCACACAGATAGTCTAGATCCAAATGTGGAAAGTTTTAGGCATGATTTTCGTGTAAGCGCCTCCACTGTGCATTTCTAACCTACAGGTTTTCTTTTTCTTTGCCGTATTTGTTGGGCCAGCTCAACTGTTATTCCTTCCATTCGTACTGGCTCCTACCTAACGATATATTTATTCTGGACCGAGGTTATCGAGATGCCGGGCCCTTGTTGGAAAGGCTGGGAATTGAATGTAGGATGCCAACTCAACTAAGGTCGCACGAACATCAATTGTCGACAAAAGAAGCTAACCTATCAAGACTAATAACCAAAACTCGATGAATTATTGAAGCAAGAAAGGAACATTTTGAATATGTGTTTAATGTTTTTGATAAAACTATATCTGCGGTCCACTTGAAATGTTTGGGCGATTTTCACAGAATTTGTGGGGCCATGTTCAATAAATATCGGGAGCCAGTACTAATGGAAGGAGCAACAGTTGAGCTGGCCCACCAAATACGGCAAAGATCGCTTACCAGAAATAATTTGCAAGTTATAATCGACCAAGAAAACCTGCGGGTTAGAAATGCGCAGTGGAGGCGCTTACACGGAAATCATACCCTAGACTTTCCATATTTGGATCTAGAAATATCTGAGAAATTTGAAGGTAGGTGTCTATCAAATAAATCTTGAGCCGTCTTACATCCAGGACACTATGCACCGAGGACCAAATAATGAATTGCAAATAGACCTGTTACTGAATTACCCCAATCTCATCAGATTAAGGGTGTTTTCACGCTTCAGAAACGCAGTAAGGCACCAGATTTTTATTAACTATGATTGCACTAATGTAGGAGGTCATTATTGTACCTGCAAGTCAGGGTCCAGAAACACTGGGCACTTGTGCACACATAGCAGCAGTTATTTGGTAGTTGGGTTACCCGCGGCATCAACCAAATATCCATTATCC